TAGCTTTCTTCTTGTATTTGAAAAATTAGGAGTGTGTTCTATGAGAAGTGCGCCGGTGGCCAATAATACAAATGTTACTGATCCGATGTCAGTAAAAACAAAATCTAAATGTACATCATCATTGACACGATCAAAATTTGAATGGATAAAATTGATATCGACCATACTGGTTCCATTAATGATTGGTGTGTTTACAATCGTAACAACGGTACAACAAATACAAACAGATGGACAAAATCGTCTAAAAGATATACAAATAGCTTATGATCAACGTCAGCACGATTTGTTTTTAGCTAGTGAATCACGGAGAGAATATTTATTTGATAAATATCTGAATGATGTATCGTATTATGTACAACTCGGTGAAAACCGTAGCAGCACAGATAAAATAACAATTCATTCAAAAACATTGGCAGTATTTCGACAAATGGATCCACGACGTAAAGGTGATGTAATACGATCATTACTCGAACAGAAGTTGATCTATTGGCAATCTAATGATCAATTCGATATGTCTGACAATGATTTAAGCTATACTGAATTCGATCAGATGGTCACGCTAGATGGTCTTCGCTTAGAAAATCTTCGGTTAAATAATGTTAAATTTATTAATTTGCATTTACGCAATTGTGTATTTAGAAACTCAATTTTAACAGGATCAAATTTTACGAATTCAATCATTACTGAGATAGATTTTAGAAATACAGAATTAGATCACACTGATTTTACTCATACAACAATCACACACACAGATTTTACATCGGCTAATTTAAATCGCTCTAATATTCGAGTGGATGATGAAGCAGGAAATATTTTTGATTTTATTATTCTTCCAAATGGAACATACAAATTGAATAATAAAAAACCAATTATTAAGAATGGTGGTGGTGAATCCGAGATTCATGGATGGCTAATAAAACATGGAGAAATTGTTAGTATTAATTATCATGCAGAAAATAGCAAGTTAAAAATAAACGATACAGCAAAATATGGTGATCATTATTTTTCGCAAAAAATTAGCAATGATGAAGATGATGGAGCTGTAATTGTGCAATATATTCAACTTGATAATTATTATCGTTTGATTAAGAATGAACAAGCTGAATATCATCTATCTGCATGGCTTGGTGGTGTAACTTATAGAGAAGATTATGCTAGTATTAAATGGAGTTTTGAGCCGGTTATGCTATCAGAGGATCATGGGATGTTAGGTACTTCTTGTTTTATTATAAAAATCATTGAGTTTAGAAAAGTTGCTCAACTATATCGTGCTCGTAGCACATGTTCACAACCACTGAAAAACTTAACTAATGGGATGGATTTTAGGTCAAAAATCGATAAAAAAAAGGTGGTCTTTTTGCGTTATAAGTTCAAAAGGGGTCTTGTTACAGGGGGCTGTCTCTTGTGTCCATCACTTTATTTTATTATTTTCTGCACTACAGATCCAGATTGAGATATAACTCTATATAGAATAAACAGTAGAGTTTCTAGCACGCATATGTGACGTAAAATATTTCTGAAAATCGATCAATCGATGGTATACTCAAAATATCTATTTTGAGCAAGTTCAGATAGGAACTGACTAGCGTCCCCAAAAAAGTATACATAACTTGAATGGAAAATATCTAAGTTTGCTTTTTGTGCATAAAGTTGCCGTGTCATAGATGCTGTAACGGGTGATGCCCCAGAATAAATGAGTCGCTCACCATTTTGCTTATAACTTGGTTAGGATTTGTTTCCGAGACTCGATGTTTTTTTTGAAAGATGCACTGCAAAATACTCTACAAAATCAGAACTAAACTATGATTTCAGAACTTCAGTCAAGAAAACTAAGACAGTTAGATGAAAGTCGAAAAAAATGAAAACTCTACAAAATCAAAAATGATTTCTTATGTTAACGTTTTGAAAGTAAGAAAAACTGAATTAGCCATTTTGTAGCCCTGACTTCGATCTATCTTTTAGCTTTACTTCAAATTTTTCACATCAAAACCCACGGCGAAATAATAGTTTTTCTATTGGTTGTCCCGCATTTTTTCATTCATTTTTTAAATTTTGGATATAGTAGTGCTTCCAGTAGAAGTCTCATAACTCCATCAAAATAAAAGCTTTTTCAGTCGGGTTTGTTTTGTTTTGATCAGAAATGATTGCTCTTCTGCTGTAAAAGAACGAAAGCATGTCTGGAGCTCGCGGTTGTGTGAATTTGTAGTAGACGCTATCTAGTAGTTATGATTGAATTCTTAAATCTAAGTAATGTGTCGTTATGGAGTGGTATGTAGTTTACATTGACAGTTTCCTTAGATGCCGGAATTTGTACATTTTCGAGCTCTTTGCAAAAATTGAATTTCGCAGCAACTTTAGGATCTGCGGTTTTCGTCGAAATTCATGAAAACGTTTGCTTTAAAGAAGTTCAATATGTTGGAAGAAATCTGAGATGGTCGATTGAGCAAGTTAGTCGTGGCTTATCTTTAATCGCTCTTAAATCTGCTGATTATCGTAGAGAGGTTATTAGTCGCATACGTTAAATCATTCTAAGGTGAAAAATTTGGTACTTAAGTAATCCCGTTCCATCGTCTCTTTGCTTTGAAGTTTCTCTCTTGTTTATAAGACTATACAACAGGAGCTTCTTACAACGTTGGTGTAATTGATAAAGCAGCTTTTCTGTCTATTTATATTGTACCTAGATCCCGTAACAAATTTACATCGTCATAATATGACACAGTTACAATACCGATGCGTCAATGGTTTTGTGCCAAAACATGCAATGTTATTTGCCATATGTGTTTACTTTTATCATTTCAACACTACTGATGCTGCCGCCGACAGTTCTGGTTATAGTTTTGTCGATGAAATTCAGTTGTATATAACAGCAAAAGCAAAACCAGTAAAGTAAAAACATCATCTCAAACATGGTCCGTACAGAATTTCACTGATTATCATGGAACCGATCATGGAGAGATAAACTTTAATAATGAAGTGCTTGTTTTAGCTCTGAGTATGCTTCTGAAAGCTGCTATGTATTCTTTCATGTTTTTCTGCATGGTTATTTATTCTTGAAAACAGTGTAGATCACGGGTAGAACGGTTCCCTCGTAAGTAAATTCAACTGAATTTGGGAGCCAACCATAAAACACATTTGTATCAAAAGAAACTTTTTCCTTTAATTGTTCTGGTTTGATATAAATAAAATTATTTTCAGTCAATTCACTGTAAAATATTTCCTTGACTGTAAAGTCTTATTGAAATGAGTATGAGCGACCTTTATGATCGATTCTATTGATCCAAACTTTCATCTGAACTTTGTTGGATGAAAATGATATTCGCTTGGCTTTAGTCTGCGGTCTTACAAGATGGTTGTCTGTGGGTCTGTGCGCAAAATATCGAAAAATGGCTGTTACATGGTTCATCCCCTATTAGAAATGCGTTTTGGCGAAATTTGCTTGAAATTTCCCCTAATTTTCCGATTTTTTTCCCGGACGTAATAGAAGACTACCGGTCTTCTAGGAGTTATACAAGCGTAAAAAAAAATCTAGTATTGCCCGATTCATCTAGATTACTAGATTTTTACTCGATCGCAACTACTGTGTAATGACAATGGAAATCTAGTAATTGGGCGATTATTAGATTTTTTCTAGTTGCAACTATCGATTTATCGCCCGATAATCGATCGGTGTAACTATTACTAGCTGCACCTGCAGACGCATCTAGTTAAAAGTCCCTTTTCCAACTAGTAATATAGATGACAAGTAGTCGTGTATAGCCCGATTACAGATGAAATGTATCCAGATTTTTCCCATAGGTGATATTTGCTTGGGTAGAAGACCATGGTCTTCTATTTGGCTTTCAAGTCATATAATCGGCAGTGGTCTTCTAACAGGGGTTGATCTTCTATTATGGACGAGAGTTCAACTTTAGTCGAAAACTTCAGCTCAGCTTGACGGGATGATAATGATATTGCCTTGACTGTAAAGGAAAGGATCTTATAGAATAAAATATTAATCCTCCTTTGAATAGTAATCCGTTTGTGTCCGAATAGTAAAGGCAGTGTGTTTCTTCTCCACTTTGTCCTACCTGTCGGATCAACGAAACGATACAACATTATTTATTAGATTGCACTGTTTATAAACGGGCAAGAAGACAAATGAGGAAGAAATTGAGCTTTCTAACTCA